GTGCAGTTTTGGGGCGGCCTATGGGGCCTCGTGGGCCGTCTTGGAGCGTCGGAAGCTCGAGAAGACGATAACCCTAGAAACAATGAACAACCGGAGGAAAACACTTGATTTTGCCTCTCGGGGCCCTCTTTGGAAGGCTCTTGGGGTGTCTCGAAGGCGTCTTGGAGCCTCTTGGAGGCCTCTTGGGGCAGAAGGCTTGGATTTTCGGTTCGTGTTTTCTTCTCTTGGGCTCCTTTGGGGGCCGTCTTGGGGCCCTCTTGGGCCGTCTTGAGGCGCTCTTAGGCCATCTCGGGCTCCTCTTGAAAGCCTCCTGGGCTGTCTCGGGGGCCTCTGAGGGGCCTCTGAGGGGCCTCTTGGGCCGTCTTGAAGCGTGGAAAAAAACATACAAATCCTTCAACAACCTGAGGACAGCCATGCATTCTTGCATCTCGGGGCCCTCTTGGGAAGGCTCTTCGGGCGTCTTGAAGGCGTCTGGGCGCCTCTCGGAGCCATCGTGAGCATCCTGAGCCAACCGTTCCGCGATTCGGGACCGTCCTGGAACCTTTTTGAGGCCACGGCAGGCAGACTTGGAAGCTCTTGAGTCTCCAGGGGTGCGCTGGCGAGCCCGGACATAATTACGAGGTTTTAGACCTTGGGAGAGGGAGAAATCAGGAGGGGAAAAAACACACGGGCACTAATAATCGTCGATTCCGCAGAAAATAGGGGAAAATATGGGAAGGGGGGGAAGACAAAAACCCAGAACATATGGGAAAATATGGGGGATCCTGTTACTCGTGTGTATTTATTTGTGTGTCCTTGGGCCACTTGAAGAAAGGGGGAGGGGGACCGCCAACCATCTCACACGCCTTCTCACCCCCGACAAGCGGGGGTCGGCAGATGCCCATGTCCTTATCCCTACGCGTTTCGACGTCGTCGCGCGCCCCGATTCATGCAATGTAGGCTCAGCCCGGATCCGACCCTGCCCGCCATCCTTGTCAAATGAAGTAATGCGGCGCACGCGTGCTGATTGCATTACGCATGCTGCAACAATCCCTATCTAACATGATTGCCATCGTGAACCCCCAAAATAGTGACTCCTTGCACTCTAGACGTGACACCTATGCGGTGAAGGCTGCGCTGACCAATCCGTGTGGTTCAAGCTTCGTGTTGCGAGGCTGTGTGGTGCTGCGTGGGGCCAGCTCGATGGTGTACGCTATCTGGTGCAGGCTATGCGTGGCGCAAGCTGTGCGGGCTGTACAATCTGTGCTGTGCCCAGACATGCGACGTCTTGACTTTTTCAGGACGGCGTCTCTGGAAGTCCCGACCCTTTCCCCGGGACCGGCTTCTCGTCCTGAGCCGTTTCGTCGACGGTCCCGAGGCCCGGCGAGGGCCCCCCGAGGCCGAAAAGAGCCCAAAACCTCTCGCCCTGAATTTTCTTTCTCTTCTACGGCGCGAGCATGCCTGGGTGCACCCTGCGTGGCGCAAGCTGTGCGGTGCACGGTGCCGGCCGTGCGGCGCCCCGCCCGCGTGGTGCACGTGGCGCAGCCTGCGTGGTGCCGGCCGTGCGGCGCCGCGCCCGCAGGGGCGCCTGCGGGGGCGTCCGCGGGGCGGGTGCCGGGCGGGCGCCGCGGCGAGAGCCTCGCGCTTCTCGGGCGCACGGTGCGCCGCACGAGGCGCCCGCGGCCAGACCTCCCAACGCACTGGAACAACATCAAGACGCAGGTTTTGCCCTCCTCCTCCTCCTCCTCCTCCTCCTCCTCCTCCTCCTCCTCCTCCCCTCCTCCTCCCTCCTCCCTCCTCCTCCTCCTCCTCCTCCTCCTCCTCCTCCTCCTCCTCCTCCTCAGCGGCCCTCGCCGGGCCCTGGGAGCGTCAAAGACCGACTCCGGAGGAACAACGGGTCCTGCAGGGAGGGGTCGAGGCTCCCGGGGACCCCGTATATACCGAGAAAAGAGAGTCACGACGTCGGATCTCTGGGTGGCCAGGCGCAGGCCGAAGCCCCGGCGCGTCTTTCCCGTCGCGGCGCGAGCCGCGGCGCGAGCCGCGCGCGCGCGCGCGCTCCAGTCGGCCGGGGGCGGGCGAGCGGAGCGCCCGGCTGCAGGAGATCGACGAGCGCGCTCCACTGCTCGCAAAGTGACTGCTCGCAAATGGCCTGAGGATCCCCCGCGGGGGGGATCTACGACGAATCACATCAGAGCAGACATGTGTGTGTGTGTGTGTGTTTCGGACGTTTGCGAGTGCGGGGGAACGAGCAATGACATGGACATAAAAGCTCGGAGGTCCGCGCGGATTTCTTGGATCTGCGCTGGACCCCCCTCCCTGGCGCGCGGAGCGCGGCAGGGGCGGCGCCGGAGGCGCCGCCAGGAGGCCCCAGCGCCGATCCGAGAAGTCCGCGCGGACCTCCGAGTTTTTGTGTTTATGTCATTGTTCGTCACCACCCACTGAACCACCCCAACCCAACCCGAAGGCTCAGATTTACTCTCGATTTCCAGTGGGGGGGGGCGTCGGGAATCATCGAAAACACACATGTGGAACCCTTACCCCCCCCCCAACCCGAAATTCGGGTCTTCGGGCTGGGTCGGGGTGGTCTGGCAGGTCGTCAGCTCGTTCCCCGAGGGTGGGCACTCTGCGAGAAGTGGAGCGCGCTCGGCGAGGCGAGGAGGCGGGGGCGGAGGGCGGCCGCGGGGCCGGGAGGAGGGGCCCGCCGCGCGCGGAGGGCTGCTGGGGGGGGGGGGGGGCTTTTTCAAGGAGGGACAAAGAACACACAGGCAGAAGTCATCGTCGACTCCCAGGAGAGCATGGGGAAGTATGGGAAGTGGGGGAAAGACGAAGACCCAGAAGATGTGGGAAAAGATGGGGAATCCTGTTATTTTGTGCGTATTTCTTTGTGTGTCCCAGGGCCCCTTCACTCTTAGAAGCACCCCTGCTTCTCAGAAGGCGCTGGCCTTCTCTGCAGACGCCAGGCCAGGGCTTTCTGAGAAGCAGCCTCCTTCCAAGCAGCCCTCCCCCCTCCCTCCACTCCGCTGTGCGCACCGCCAAAGGGGGAAGGGCACTCGCTGCACGGAGACCTTCGTCAGGAGCGGCCAGGCCGAAGCCCTGGCATACCCATCCGATGATTTAGCGATTCCCGGGCAGCTCTCTGAGAGCTAAGAGGGTTGAAGATCAGAAGCCGGCAGTGCAGGGTAGCCCCGGAGCTCATTCCAGCTTCTCTCCGGAATGCCCGCTGCGGCTCCTGCGAGGTTGCAGCTTGTCCCGGAAGGCCCTTTCTTCTAATTGTTCCCCAATGCGTGTGCCCTGAAGCTTTCCAGTTTCCAGAGCTTCTTCGAGAGGCGTTGGAAGGCCTTTCTTGCGCTCCGTTATCCGTGTTTTGGACTCCCTCCTCCTTCCTCTCCTCCTCCTCCTCCTCCTCCTCCTCCTCTTCCTCCTCCCTCCTCCTCCTCCTCCTCCTCCTCCTCCTCCTCCTCCTTTGATGATGCAGCAGCGCAACGCGAGAATCCCCCTGAGTGCAAGCACCGTAGCTGGAAACATGCAGTGTGGGTGAGGGGGGCACATGCGCGCGTGTGCTGCACACGGGCACCGTCTCTGGGAAGGACACCCCGTGGCTGGCCTCGCTCTTGCGCGCCCCAGTCCTTAGTCGCCGACCTCATCTGGGTGCTCTGCAGGGGCCAGCTACTAGAACTCGGCGGCGAGCGAGGGTCAGAAGCCAGGCGAAGGCTGGCAAATCCGTGGCTGCTGAAACGAAGCTCCGGGAAATCGCTTTTCTCTTCCGGGAAGCAGCCCGTTTATTATTTTGCGCGTTGAATTGTATTTTCGGAATGCGTCGTTTCTCTTCTGGGAAGACCGTTTTAGCAGCCATGGATTTGCCAGCCCTCGCCCAGCCTCCGAGAGGGGGGAAAGTGAGGAGGGGCGGCCTTCTCAGCAGGCTCGCAAGTCCCCCACCTTTCCGAGAAATGTTCTGAGCCTTCCCCGTAAATGAAGGACGCACGACGTGGGCGCAAGGGCCTTGGAAGGCCGTACCAACACTTTGCGGGCCAGAAGGGGAAGGATGCAAGGGTGTCCTTGGAAAGCGGCCAGGGATGGGCCAAAGGGGGAGGATGCAAGGGTGGCCTTGGAAAGTCGCTCATCCTTACTATGCGGGTGGACTGTATTACAACACTCTGCATTAGCGTGCGCGCGCAAGAAGAGATGCACGAAAGCAACCCGCATGCTGATCGCTTTCAGAAACTGTGTGACCCCATGGCCCTGCCCTTACCATCAGACTGCCCTTTCATTCCGTCCACCATCCATTCCGTAATTACGCACTCTCGCTTTATCGGCCTCACCGCTTCTTTTTCGTCATATTCCTCTCTTCCTCATTGGTCTCTTCTTTTTTCTTTGTTTCCCCGCTCCATTCCCTTAGCACGCAACTCCTGCAAGGTCAAATTCAGCATCGGCGCTGGTAGATCCGTTGTCGAATGCCAGCAGAGTCCCGCCTAGTTCGCTCAGTCGCATTTAACCTGGTTTAACCCAGCTTGATCCCTGGGCTTATTTGACCTGCTTCAGTTCACCGCCATTTCCTCATGCCCAGGAGCCCATACCCGTTGATACGATGACCTCCCAGAAGTTGCCTCCTCGTTTGACCGTTCTGTGGCAGAGCGGGGGTGTGGGGGTCCTCGGGCGCCTCTCGACGGCGCTGTTCAGCTGGCGTCCGAACGGTTTCGCCCCTCGGGACCCAAGCCTTGGCAGAATTTGTCGTCCCCCTGCCAGGTCAGCTGACGTGGGATCCCATTGAGCATGTCCGTCTGTCTGTCCCCCTGCCCCTCCTCCTCCTCCTCCTCCTCCCTCCTCCTCCTCCTCCTCCTCCTCCCTCCTCCTCCTCCTCCTCCTCCCCCCCTCCTCCCCCTCCTCCCCCTCCTCCTCCTCCTCCTCCTCGTCCTCCTCCTCCTCCTCCTCCTCCTCCTCCTCCTCCTCCTCCTCCTCCTCCTCCTCCTCCTCCTCCTCCCCCTGCCCCTCCTCCACCCCCTCCGCTCCGCCTGCGCGGCACGAGGCTCCTGGGCCTTCCAGCACGGGCCGGGCGCGTGTGCGGCGCGCGACACCAGCTGCGCG